CCTCCTCCTCCTCCTCCTCCTCCTCCTCCTCCTCCTCCTCCTCCCCCAAGCATCAGGGTTGACAGGTCCTGGTGCAGATAGGTGGGCACCCAGCCCTGCAGAGCGTAGGAGGCCAGACCAGTGACCCCGATTACCTGGCTGAGCAGTTTCGGGGGGGGCAACCAATGATGTTGCAGGGCCAGTGTTTGGGCGCTGCGGTTCTGTGGGCATCGGCTTGTGCTTGAGAATGTTAGACTGTCGTCCAAAGGCAAGCGACAATGGTCACATGGACTATTTTGGGGATTGAATGGGGCCCACACACGGTCACCACTATTTTCAGACGCAACCAGATGAACGGCTGCTTGTAGGGGGGGGGCGACAGAGGTAGCAATCGATTCAACGCGTCCGAGAAAAAATTATGCTAACGGAGTTCCCCACATAATGATGTTTTTGGGCTAGCGGGATCAAGCAACATTTTGTAGAGAAATTGCCGACCTGCCCTCGCCCTCTCCATCCTTTTCTATCACATGGTTTGCGAATACCCTCCTCGCTCATGCGGGGCTTCCCTGGAGGGGTGGGACGGGCACGGAACCTGATAAATAGCACTGTTCGCGAATACCCTCCTCGCTCAGACGGGGCCTCCCTGGAGGGTGGGAGGGGCAGGAAATCTGATAAATAACACTGTGTTCGAATAGCGTCCTCGCTCAGGCGGGGCCTCCCTGGAGGGGTGGGAGGGGCACGAAACCTGAGAAATAACAGGTGATGCGAATACCCTCCTCGCTCAGGCGGGGCCTCCCTGGATGGGGTGGGAAGGGCACGAAACCTGATAAATAACAGGTGATGCGAATACCCTCCTCGCTCAGGCGGGACCTCCCTGGAGGGGTGGGAGGGGCACGAAACCTGATAAATAACAGGTGATGCGAATACCCTCCTCGCTCAGGCGGGGCCTCCCTGGAGGGGTGGGAGGGGCACGAAACCTGATAAATAACAGGTGATGCGAATACCCTCCTCGCTCAGGCGGGGCCTCCCTGGAGGGGTGGGAGGGGCACGAAACCTGATAAATAACAGGTGATTCGAATACCCTCCTCGCTCAGGCGGGGCCTCCCTGGAGGGGTGGGAGGGGCACGAAACCTGATAAATAACAGGTGATGCGAATACCCTCCTCGCTCAGGCGGGGCCTCCCTGGAGGGGTGGGAGGGGCACGAAACCTGTAAATACAGGCGAATACCCTCCTCGCTCAGGCGGGGCCTCCCTGGAGGGGTGGGAGGGGCACGAAACCTGATAAATAACAGGTGATGCGAATACCCTCCTCGCTCAGGCGGGGCCTCCCTGGAGGGGTGGGAGGGGCACGAAACCTGATAAATAACACTGTGTTCGAATACCCTCCTCGCTCAGGCGGGGCCTCCCTGGAGGGGTGGGAGGGGCACGAAACCTGATAAATAACAGGTGATGCGAATACCCTCCTCGCTCAGGCGGGGCCTCCCTGGAGGGGTGGGAGGGGCACGAAACCTGAGAAATAACAGGTGATGCGAATACCCTCCTCGCTCAGGCGGGGCCTCCCTGGAGGGGTGGGAGGGGCACGAAACCTGAGAAATAACAGGTGATGCGAATACCCTCCTCGCTCAGGCGGGGCCTACCTGGAGGGGTGGGAGGGGTGGGAGGGGTATTGGTATGGTATGGTATTGGTATGGTATGGCTTGGTATGGCTTGGGATGTTATTGGTTTGGTATGGTATGGTATGGTATGGTATTGGTATGGTATGGTATGGTATTGATAATGTATGGCTTGGTATAGCTTGGTATGGTATTGGTATAGTAAGGTATTGGTATGGTATGGCTTGGTATGGTATGGTTTAGGAGAAGGACGCGGGAGGAGGAGGAGAAGGAGAGGGTGTTCTGGGAAAACAAGAACCCCACTCAGGATGTGGGGAAAAATAAACCCATGCGTGCTCGGCGAATCCAGAAACAACAACGAAAGGGTGGAAGATCCCACGCATCCGCCTGTTCAACCCGACGAGTCTAAGCACGAGTCCGCCCAAAGATGTCTCCAAACTGTGTCGGCGATGCCTTGAAAGATGCTCTGGGTAAATCGGCGCCCTCGGGGGGCCGCGCGGGGATATGTTCGAATCGGGCGCGGCCTAACCGACCCCTAGCAAACCATCTCCTTCCGTGACGTTACCCTCGGCCTCAAGCTCCCCTCCGGCCGCATACATACTTCTTGGGGCGAGGCGAGGGGGGCGTCACGGAAGGGGATGGTTTGCTAAGTGGGGGTCGGTCAGGCCGCCCGTGCTGGAGGGATGCCGCAAGCGTGGTTGCCGAGGGCGGCCGCGCGAACCACCCACCCTAGTTCGTGTGCTCTGCCACTCGTCCAGCCTGTGCGCAGCATCTCGTGGCAATTGGACTGCGGGACTTCGATGCACCAACGCGCTGTGTGTGGATTAGGCCTTGGGAAGGCTGCGATAGAGTCGTTGCCCGTTGGGCGCGGCTGGATGGTCATCCGTTGCGTCGCACGGCCCAAATCGGCATGGCACCAGGACGGGCCCCAAGGCCTTCCCGAAAACGGCTACATTGGACGCCCGAACTGGGTACGGAAAACATTGGCACGTGGCCAAACATTGGCACGTGGCCAAACAACAGATGCTATCCGACACCGACAATGGTCGCCGTTGTGCAGGCGGCCTTCTGCCACGAATGGACAAAGCCAGCGGGGGAACCGAAAACGAGCCCTAGTCAACATGTGAAGGAACTGCTGCCAACCTTGTTCTCGCTTCCTCTGTACCCGTTTCGATCGTGTCGATCTGTGGGTGGACCCTCCATGCCACACCACCTAGGGGATACGTCAACCCGTATCCCAGGCATTGAAGCGTTTTCGAAAGGACCAACAACTCTGCGCACGAACCTGGGACTTACGATGTGGGGGCGTCTGTCATCGACAGGGGCGCATCCGAACAGCCCACTTGGGGTGTATCCCAGGGTTCCCCTCTTCTGAGCGGTTCCATGCTTCGTCGAAAAGTCCAGGGTTTGGGAGGAAAAGTCGCCTGTGGCCACCAGCACCAGCTGCCATCCTACCAACTACACAGCGCGCTCGGCCCTGCCGACCCCTCCTGGCTGCGCCGCGCCTGCTTCATCTTGCGCAACTCCGCGAACAGCTCGGCCATCTGCTCGGCCTGCGTGGCCTGCCCATGCATCCCGGGGGGGGGGGGGGGAGGACCAGCATGCAGGGCCGTCCCTGAAATCCAGCTTCGGGCCCCAGGATACTATCAGATCGACCTCGCTCGAGAAATGCAGCAGAACGATGAGGTCTAGGCTAGCGCTCCAGTCGTGATTTCTCGCGATGCTGTCCCTTTTTTCGTGACGTCGGATCTCTGGGGTGTGATGGGGCACGCTGGCACAGTGCTGGCCTTGCCCTGCGAGGCTGGGTCGCTGGATGTTGAAAGTTGGCCGCCCGCTCAGAACACTATCCCAGACATCCAATGTTTGATGTTTTTCAGTGCGAGGTCCCCAAAGGTCCCCAGTGGATTTCTGACGGTCCTGGGGTCTGGCGAAGGCCCCCAATGAGGGCGAGACACGGCCCCCAAAAGTCCGTCGTGATGTGTCTTGTTCCTGAGGGAAAGGCGGGAGGACAATTAAGAAGTTCAGGAGACTCTCCAGAAAAGAATGAGAGCGTGAAAACCAACCCCCGCCCCCCACATAAGGAACTTTAGACCAACTCGACCGCGCGCGCGGGCCCTCCCCGCCATGCGGCAAAGGTTGGGCGTCCCGGTGAACACCAGCCAGACCTTCCACCCAAACGCCGCCCCCGGGCCCGGCAGAGGGCCCCCCGGAGGCCGAAAGCTTCCAAGAATGCCTCCCGTCGAACCCTCCCTCCATGGCTACAGGTGATGGCATTGATGACGATGGTGATGGTGATGATTGTGTTGGCGTTAGGTCGGGCATGTCCCCTTACCGGCGGATTTTGAACGAAGCATAAACATATCTGTAGCATATGAAACGTGTTCAAAACATGATAGAAAAATCGTCCCCAGACTATTTCTTTACTATTCTTGAGTATTCCTCCTGTTGAGGGACACGCCCGACTTAATGTTGGCGGTGATGATGATGGTGATGATGACCAACAGCCGCAAACACATAAGGCCTGGGATAGGAACCACAGAGATACTGACACCGCTCCTGACTAGACCTCTCTCTCTCGGGGTGCGTCATGACCAGAATTTCGATGACCATACGGCCGTGGCGACGAGAACTATCCAGGACAAGCAACGGTGCTGTCTTCCCAGGAACATACAGAACACGCACACACATAGATGTGTACATATCAATATAAATATGTATATGTCGACAAGCTTTCGGAGCCCTGCGTGGATTTCTTGGATCGGCAATTGACCGCCCCTCATTGGCTCGCGGCGCGCGCCAGTGGTACAGGTACAGGTACGGCCTGCATGCCGGCTCCAGAGGAGCGGTCCCTCAAAGGGGCAGGCGGCGACAAAGGATTGTGAAACGTGTCTTGGTGAAAACTGCAGCACGGGTCGCTCACATCTGGTAGAAGACGACAGACAAGTGATGGTACGTGAATTGCAGCAGAAAGCAAAAAAGACTAACGAGGCAAGAAACAACATTCACGAGATAGAAAGCGGAGCGCGCCAGTGGCGGCGCCGAAGGCGCCACCAAGGGGGTCCAGCACCGATCCTAGAAAACCACGTGGAGCTCCGAACGTTTCTGTTTACGCTGTCGCTTCGTCCTCGACTGACAGGAAGCGGATCGGCGACTCCAAAGGGTGAGGCTTGCAAAGCGTGTGGTTTGCACCGCGCGCCTGGGGTGGCGGGCGAGGACCTCGACAGGGATCTCTGCCGTACCCCGACGAGGGCTCAGGAAACCTGTGGCGCAACGAGGTGACCCACCAAGCCCTGAGGTGGGATTGGAGTTAGGTCGGGCATGTCCTCCCACAGGCGGGTTTTGGACAACAAAAGACAACCAACCAAAACGCCCTCAGACTATATTTTGACGATTCTTGAATGTTCTTCCTGTGGAGGGACATGCCCGACTTGAGACTAGAGCTTCGAACGCGGTGCGTGTTATTAAACCAGTCGCGGGGGGGCGCCTTGGGCCCCTTCCGAAGGCCTCCGACGGGCCCCCCTCGCCTCCTCCTCTGCACCGTCTCGGGTTGCCGCGGAGAGCTGTCGGTGGCCTGCCTGCGAGTGGGCTGTCGGCAGTCCGTCCGTGAGCAGTTGGTGAACTGTCGGTGGGTTGCAAGTGGTCTGTCAGCGAGCTGGCAGTGGACTGTGAGTGGAGTGTCAGTGGTCTGTCAGTGGTCTGTCAGAGGTCCGTCGGTGATATGCCGGATGGAATGCAACCGGTCTGTCAGTGGGCTGCGAGTGGTCTGCCGGTGGTCTGTCAGTGGTTTGTGTGGTCTGTCAGTGGTCTGTCAGTGGCCTGTCAGTGGTCTGCCAGTGCTCTTCCTGTTGTCTGTACGTGGGCTGTCAGTGGTCTGTCAGTGGTCTGTCAGCGGGCTGTCAGTGGTCTGTCAGTGGTCTGCGGGTGATTTGTCACTGGTCTGTCAGTGATCTGTCAGTGGTCCGTCGGGGGGGATCAAAATACGAAACATGGGTGGGATCTGAACGCACTTCGACCATCCCACTGACTGACCTCTTAGAGACCATTGACAGCTGCTGACGGACCACTGACAGACCACTGCTATACCACTGGCAGCTCTGCCCGACGTCGAGGGGTGGGTATCGCGTTCGAACGCGTGGGCCGATGCTTCCACGGTGCCTCTTCTGCAAGACCGCATCGACCACATAGGGTGTGTGTGTGTGTATCATGGGTGATGTGTAACGGTTGATGTGGATTTTGGGTTTGATATGCCCGTCGGGCGCGATGGTGGGGGTGGGAGGCGCTCTTGGGGCGGGGGTGAGGGGGTGGCGAGGGCTCAAGATGCCCTGGAGATGGGGTCCCGAGGGGCGCCCTGGAGGGTTCCTGGGGGTGCCCTGGGTTGGCCCTGGGTTGGCCCTGGTCCCACCTGAACTGGTTCGAAAATGTTGTGGTACCCCCCTGGCCTGAGCCCCACCGGCGCCGATCGCAAACCACACGCCAGCGTGACCACACAATTGTTTTTGTCGCCGACAGGAGGGAACAAAAGCCTTCACCCCCACCCTCGCCTGCGCATCCCTGAGCGCAGCGATCTCGGCGTTCTGCTCGTCGAGCTTCTGCGTCTGCTGCTGCGAGGCGGCGACGAGCAGTGCGATGAGGTCCTGCGCGGCCCCACTCGCTGGCTCTGCGCGGCGGCGTGCCGGCAGCGGAGGGCGGAGGGGCGGCACGCGAGGGCTGGAGCTGGGAAGCCAGCTCCTGAGATGGTCAACGTTTTGGGACCAGCTCAGGGGTTCCAGGTTCGAGGCTCGAGGCTTTCGGGCATTCTGGCAGGTTCTCGTGGTTTTCCAGCCTCGGGGTGCGTTCCAGCAGCTGCGCCTCGTGGAGAGCGTTCTGGGGGTGCCCAGATAATCTCGAACGGCCGCCAGAGGCCCGAGTCATTACCCGAAAATCTCCTTGGGATCAACTCAGGAGAGGATTCACCGAGCCAGAATCGGCGACACAGCGACGATAGATCGGAGACAGGTCAACGATTGCAGAACCGCACCCTCCTGGGCGGGGTGGGCCGTCGGCCCCGATCGGCGATGAATAGGGATTGGGGGTCGACTCGTCTCCTCTGAGCCCATCCCCCCCCCTAACGTTGCGTCTGATGGGAGCGGAGCTCTGTCCTGGACGAGCAACAACCTACGATCTGCCCTGGCTGGGCAGCCGTCTATTCACATGGCAGTTCTGTGACTGCCCCAGGTCGACAGTCGCATCGCACGTCAGGCGGATTGGATCGCTCCAGCGGGGCGCCTAGCGCGGCTCTTCAGAGCTGCGAAACCCGAACGCCGAAATCACCAAGCCGGGAAGTCACGAGCCGACGAGTTCGAGCAAGATCGGGCTGGACTGGGCCGGGTGTGACCGAGGATGCGCCAGGGCCGATCTGGAACCCAGCCTCCAAGGAGATGCCGCTCAAACAGCAGGCGCCAGGGGCCACGGCCACGGCGTCACGGCACGGCACGGCCACGGCGTCACGGCACGGGGGGTGCTCTGGGAAGAATGCTCTGGGGAGAGTGCTCTGGGGAGAGTGCTCTGGGCGGAAGAGAATGCCCTAAACCCCAAACCCCAAACCCTAAACCAAAGGGGTGGACAGGCGGGACGCCTCCGATCGCACCTCGTTGCGCCTCGTGCCGAGCGAGAGGCGGTGTGCTCTGCGCCATCGTCAGCCCGCAGCACCGCGGTCCAGCCCGCGGAGGGGCGAATGAGAAGGTGGGGCAAGATCGGATCGAAGCTCAAATCTGCACCGGATCGGGCTGCATCGGCACGAATGGAGAAGGAGGAGGAGGAGGAGGGGGAGGAGGAGAAGGAGGAGGAGGAAGAGGAGGAGGACAACCAAATTGAATCGGGTTGGCTGCGCCAGAATGCACAAGAGCCCCATGCAAGCCTCGGGACGCTTCGGATCGCCGACACGCCGGAATCGAATCAGATCAGCCTGGCCAGAATCGATATCGAATCGGATCGATCGGATCGAAATGTATCCTGAGAAGGGGGAGGGGTGTACGTTTTTACTACGATCTACGATTCAAGCAAGTGTTTCCACGAAGACGCGCGGCGCCGCCGGTCGTCGTCGTTGTCGTCACCGCCGCCGTCGTCGCCGTCGTCGTCGTCGTCGTCGTCGTCGTCGTCGTCGTCGTCGTCGTCGTCGTCGTCGTCGTCGTCGTCCCCCCTCTCGCTTTGGATCTGCCGATCGCGGTTGTCGGGGGCACCACCCCGAGGGCAGCCAGAAGGGCTCCTGGTAGACCACCGCCTTCTGGTCCTCGAAGTCCGCCCGGTTCTGGTCCCAGCGCCCAAGTCGGCGGGGCGGGAGGCAGAGACGGAGGAGAGAAGAGAGGACCCGGAGGACAAGCGAGGGAAGACTGGCAGAGGCCGATGTGCTCTTCACAAAGGCGCCTTGCACCAGAGTGCTACCGAGAGCTGATAGACACCACTGCCCGCACTTCACGCTCTGTATGATCTGTGTGAAATGCAACTCTTTGGGCGGTACACCCCCAACCAAATAAGGGCAGCCCGGCAAAGCAACCCAATAGCATCAGTTCGGGCATGTCCCCCTACCGGCGGATTGTGGACGACGAATTGAAAATACCAAAACGAATACTCCCAAATCCGTCGATCCCGCGGATCCGGCGCGTAAGTTTCTGAGAGCGTGCGCGGGCGGCTTGAGCTCGCTCAAGCTTCGCGTTCTGCCGAGGGGGGGGCCTCATCCGACGCATTCAGTGCTCAGCACCCTCTCCCTCGACGCCGCCCCCCCTGGTGCTGCATGCCCCCCCCCCCCCCCCACAGACACCCCCCCCCCTATGCCCGCACCGGTGCTCGGCACCCTCCCCCGACGCCTCCCCCCTTCCGATGCCGGCACCCCCTTCGTGCTGGCACCCTCCCGTCCCTCGGTTCCGACACTTCCCCCCCCCGTGCCGGCACCCGCCCCCCGGTGTTGGCACCCGTCCCCCCGGTGCTCGCACCTCCTCCTCCCGGTGCCGGCCCCCCCCGGTGCTGGCACCCCGTCTCCGGTGCCGGCGGGTGCACCTCCCCCCCAGCGCCGGCCTCCCGCCCTGCTGCACCCCGCTCCCCCCCCTTCCGGGCCCCCCCCCCCCCCGATGCCCGCACCTGTGCTCGCGCACCCCCTCCCCGATGACCCCCGCCCCGATACCGGCCCCCCCCCCGGTGCTGGCCCCCCCTCTCTCTCGCATCCGACACCTCCCCCCCCCGTGCCGGCAGCCGCCCCCTTGTGTCGGCACCCGCCCCCCGATGCTCGCACCTCCTCCTCCCGGTGCCGGCCCCCCCTATAGTGTTGGCACCCCCCGTCCAGTTCCGGCGTGCCAACACCTCCCCCCCGGCGCCGGCTTCCCGCCCTGCCAGCCCCCCCGCGGGCGCGGGCGTCCCCCTCCCTCGTGATGTCCGCCTCACTCCCCCACCCCTTATAGGTGCCGGCACCCTCTCCCCCTGTGCAGGCCCGACGCCACCCCCCCCGGTGCCGACCCCCCCCCCCGGGCGCGCCGACATCCCCCCCCCGGTGCACTCCCGGGTGCTGGCCCCCCTCCCAGGTGCAGCACCTCCCCCTCCTCCTCCTCCTCCTCCTCCTCCTCCTCCTCCTCCTCCTCCTCCTCCTCCTCCTTTTCCATTTCCTCCTCCTCCTCCTCAGGTGAACGGTTGCATATGCCTGGGGACATTCATGGATGTCCGTTTCCGGTCCCCCTCCAATCAATACTGAATGGTAGAGAGAACATGGCCGGAACGAGGAAGGGAGGAGCGAATGGCGTCTCCTTCTCCTCGAAACGCTCTAGCACGAAAAGATTTACCGCCCGCACGGGTGACTCCTTCGCCGCCGGGAGCGGGCGGCGCCGAGGACACGGTAGGCCGGATTGACTTGGGGCCTCCTGATGACCCTGAGAGGGCCCACGACGGCCTCAAGAGGGACACATAAAGTGCCCCAAAGGGGTCCCAAAGGCCAAGAGGGCATCATACTACACTTTTGGAGGCTCCACTGGGGGACATCGAAGGGCTCCCGAGGTTGTCACAACCGATGCCCCGCTGGAGGCTAACTACCACAGGGCTCCAGCTCATCTATCCGTGGGGGCTGCTGGGACTGATCGCTCTCTCGGATAAACTTCCTTCCGCAGAGCCTTCGGGCGTCCCCGCTCCAACCTCGCGCGCGCGCGGGCCCCCACGCGGGGGCGCCCGATCGCGACCGACGCGAGTGGGGACCCCGGACGCCGCCGGGGGACCTTTTCCCGATGGGGGGAGTGGCGGCGCGCGCAAGGGGGGGTAGGGGGGAGGGAGGAAGGCTTCTTGGAAGAAGATTGCTTCTTAGAAGGCGTCGGCCCTATGTTCATAGACTAGGCCAGCGCCTTCTAAGGAGCAGGGATGCTTCTCAGAAGCCTTCCCCGAGGGACGCGTGGCCGAGGGTGGGGCCTCGGATCAACTGGTGCCCTCTCCTCTTTGCTGCACTGATGCTCCTTTACCTTCCGCCTCGCTGCAACTCTCCTGGGAGCCGTTTCCCGCTGAGCTGGTAAGGACGTGCTGAAAGCGACGATAGGGTGGGACTGGCCTAGGGGGTGGGAGCATCGACCTGGAACATTGGCGACACATCGCCGATAGATCGACGATAGGCCCGCGAAAGTGAACCCGAACGTTCCTGGGCAGGCTGGGGCTAGCGTGCACTCATCGGCGATGAATGGGCGATTGGGGGTCGATGCATCCCCCACTATGCCTATACCCCCGATTGTTGCTCCTGATGCGCGAGGCGTCAAGAATGTATGATTTCACCTTGTAACCCTTGGGGTGGACCTTACCCCCTTTCGTAAGGCACCCTTTTGTGAAGCCGCTCTGGAGCAGACCTGGCAGATCAGCTACTTGACTTGGCATGACGGGAGTTCTATCAACCTGCGAACCACAAACAGATTTCGGAACCCCGAAGTGGGTACGGACAACAGTGTGCGCGATGCCCAACATCGAATGTTGTCAAAAACCGTCGGCGGTCGCTGTTGGCAAAGGCCGTTGGGCGGGCAAAATGCGATCTCACATGGGCAACGTCCGCCGCGACCCCGTCGCCGGCGTTCAACGCTGAACGCCGCCAGCGACCCAGAATCGGCCGAAGTGGAACGACCGGGCGTTTCGGGAACGCCCGAACGTCCGAGGTTGAACGATCCGCGCGGTGTCAGGAACCAACGCCGAAGTTAGCACAACAAGAGCCTGCCGAACGCCACAGGGGAAGGCAGAGGGGGCGGGCCCTGCTCCAGAGAGGTCAGAAGGCCTCCGGCCTACGGAGAAGCTCTCTGAGCCTTCGCCGAGGCCGCGGTGGAGGCTGGAGGGCTTCCGAGAAGCCCCGTCGCCTTCCGAGAATGCCTGCCCCCCGGCACTTCCCTCCTGCACGCGCCGCCGAGAGACAACTCGGGATCTCTGAGCACCAGCGGATCTGGCGGATGTGCCGATCGCCGTGCCCGATCCAGAGACCTCCAGAGAGGTGCAGGAGCGCTGCAGGACGCGCTAGAGCGACGCATACTCTTCCTGGCGGGTTGGCACGATGGGAAACAGTTCTGAGGAAACGCGCGCCCCGGACCGCGCCCTGGACCCCAGGCCTTCCCGCCCGAACGAACTCGTCACCCTGAATCGTTCTTTGCGGGTCCTGGGACCGTGAGAGGGCCCCGGGAGCCCGAGAGCTGCGAAAAGCAGTACGGTCAACCAGTATAGTAAGGACTCGCGATAAGGATGCAAGGGCCTTGGAAGCCCATTTCGAAGCTTTGCGAGCGGGGCGCGGCCAACGAAAGTGGCCAAGGATGGACCGAGGAGGCAAGGATGCAAGGGTACCCTTAGGAAGGTTGCCCATCCTTACTATGCGGTCTGACTGTAGAATATGTTTCCATCGGGACCCCTCCTCCCCCACTGCGAATGAGGCATCTCTGGCAAAGAGCGCAGGCTTGTAGGCCAGATCTCTACAGGTGAGCGGGCGGAGTGCCATTGCTCCACTCATTTGGAGCTGCTGCTGCCCGTCGCGCCTCAGACCGAGACCGCCATGGTTCTCGTTATGCTGCTGTGCCAAATCCTCCCCAACGATGCAAATATTACGGAATCGAGGTACAGTCGGACCTAGGGCAAACAAAAGCATCCGCCAAGAAAATAAGACCCTCCGGCGGCCAAACTGAAAAACACTCGAGGGAACCCGCCCCCAGGATGCACAAGAACATTCAACAAGCACGAAGAACACCAGGGTACCCTCCCCGAACCGACCTCGGTCTTGTAGCTCGGTCTGACTGGAATCGAGATATCTGAGAGCCAGGGGGTCAGGCAGGATGTGCCAGGCGACGCGGCCACTCCAGAGCGGCCGAGGCCGCCCTGGAACGATCAATCCTCCTATCAAGACGAAGCCAGGACGAGGATACAATCTGGTGAATATAAATCGAGAATCTCTGAGATCCGGTGGTTCTGGATGATGTCTCGGGCGCCGCGGCCTTCTCAGAGAGTTCTGGAACGCTCTGAGTTTCCCGGAACGCTCTGGAACGGAATTATCCTCGTCCTAGCGCCGTCCATCCTATGCCTACCTGGTGGAGGCCGCACAGTGCTTCCCTGAAGGCCCTGGACCCTGGACGTACCGACTGGCGCGCGGGACGAGGCAAATCCAGCCGTGGTGACGGGGGGGTAGTTTTAGATCGGGCATTTCCTCCTGCAGGCCGACTCTGGAAGAAAAATCATCAAAAGTAGCCAGACTCTTTTTTCAACTGTCCTCGAATATTCCTCCTGTAGAGGGACACGCCCGACTGAACGGCAGGTGTCCCTCCCCTGAGCTTCAACAATCCAACATGCTGGCTGCGAGCGCAAAGACAACTGAGGTGCCCGTCCCCGGAGGCCCCGCCCTGTTGCCGACGTTGCGCACCACCTGCGGAACGACGCTCTCGAGCTCGTCAGCTGGGGCGCGGAGCACGGGGGCGCGGGTGCACGGTGTCCCCCGGTGCCGTAGGCGACCCGAGGAGGAGGAGGAGGAGGAGGAGGAGGAGGAGGAGGAGGTGGAGGAGAAGGAGGTGGAGGACGGGGAGGGGGAGGAGATGGAGGAGGAGTAGGAGGAGGAGTAGGAGGAGGAGGAGGAGGAGGAGGAGGAGGAGGACGGGTCGCCTAAGCCTTTCGGAGCAACCCTCCAAGAGCGGGAGGCGAGAGGGCGGCAATGTGCCGCCGAACGTGCTTACGAGTCCCTCCCTCGCCACCTCTTCCGTGAGGAGGGCTGGGCGAAGGTTGGGATTCGGCGGCGAGCGAGGGGGGGGGCGTGAGAAGGAGGAGACCTTCTCAGAAGGCGGCTGGCTTCTCAGAAGCCCTCTGGCCTTCTGAAGAGTCTTCTGTGTCTTCGGGGAATGCTTTGGAACATCCTCGGAAGGCCCGAGGCCTCCCGAGCCGTCTGAGACGGCCCGCCCGTTCTACTTCCCCCCCAGGCTCGGCGCCGAGATATGTTCAGAGATTGCAGCAACGTCGGCAATCACAAACGACCACAACCACGCCAAACAATGTCCGAACAACAGAACCAGCTTCGTCCTGGTTGTGGTCGATGTGGCGTCCCAGGACCTCAGAATCGCCCACAACCACAATCCAAGTGCTCATGTCGAGGTCGGTTGGTTCTCCCCTGAAGGGCCCTCCCGAAAAATACACTTAATTGTGGTTTTGGTTCATTGCTGTGCCCGGACAACGTTCGGGCTTCTAGCCACAAGCGCCCATAGATGGGATCGTGTGCCCCCAGTGAAGACTTCCTCGTTGCCTCGGTTTCGGTGCCACTGTCCAGACCTCCAAACGAAGGATGCGAGGCACACCACGTCAATTGTCCCGATGGTCTTGGTTGACATTCAACGGAATCGCAATGCTCCTGGGGATATCTCCAAACGGCTCAACGAGAGCGGAGCTTTGACAACAATCTGGCCGTGCCCCTATCTGGCTGGCGATGGGTGGGCATACGTTTGGGGTAAGCCAGCGCAAGTGGGCTTGGAATTCCATGTCCGCATCCGCAGCGAGGACATCCTCCCCTACGCCACGAAAAACAGTAACTCAAGGATCATGCAGCTGTGTGTAGGGGCAACTCTCATAATTGACAGAATGTGTTTCCTTGACGCTTGCCTGGAACAGATCCCTTCGAATGTCGGAACCGCCCCCCCCACCCAAATTAAACATGTAGCGCGCCGGGAGACACCCGCCTGGAGACAGGCCTCCCTAACCAATCCACTCCCCCTCCCTTCCAAGGGGAGGGGCGGGGGGCTCAAACCGCCCCCCCCCCCGCCCTCGTCACCAAGAGGGGTTCGAACCGGGGAGAGCCACCCTTCCTAGTTGCAAGGGGTGTGCGGGTGTGGGGGGACGAACGGAAGGAAAAGGGGCGGGGGACCTTCCCCCTGAATTGCAGGAGGGGGGTGGGCGAGCCGCCCCCCCCCTTCAATCAATTGCACTGGGGGGTCGAACCGCCCCCCCCCTCCCCCGCTTGAATTGCAAGGACTACAACGACGACGGCGGCACTCAAGTGACGGCCAGACACGCAACATCAACATCACGACATGCACAAAGAATCAGGCAGCGCAAAATTCCAAAACAAAAATCAGAAGGCTGACATGAAGTGTATTGGAGTGGACTGAAGTAGACTGGACTAGACTGGACTGGACTGGGGTGGACTCTACTCGACTTTACTCCACTCTATTATGTTGTACCCGGCTCTACTCTACCACCTACTCTATTCTACTATATCATGCTCTGCCCTACTCTGTCCTAATATACCCTATTCGAATCGATACGAACTATAAACTACTCAACACTACTCCTACTCTACTCCCGCTCCACTCTAATCGACACTCATAAACGCACCTCGCTATTACCATACTCTTCTCTGCTCTATGATACGTGACCCCTATTCTACCATCTACCCGACTCGTTATCTACTCTATGTTACTCTATTCTACCCGCTCTGCACTAACCTAACCTACACTACACTAATATTCTCTACTCTCCTCTACTATGCTGTACTCTGTTACACCTAGATCTACTCTACCATCTACCTTGCTCTACTGCTCTACTCTACTGTGATGTTCTCTACTCTGGTCTACTCTACCCGACCCTGCCCTATCCTGTTTTTGTTTTCGAGGCGGCCGTGACAGCTGAAGACCATGGGTTCGTGCTTCGCCGTCGGCGCCGCCGCCACCGTCGTCGTTGTCGTGGTCGGCGGCGTCACCGTCACCGTCACCGTCGAGGTCGTCGTCGCCGTGGTCGTCGGCGTCGTCACCCTCGTCGTCGTCGTCATCGTTGTCTTCGTCGTCGTCGCAAACGTTCGCGTCGTCGTCGACGTCGTCGGCGTCGTCAACTTCGTCGTCGTCGTCGTCTGCCATTGGCGAAGGGCGGGGGGAGCCGGTTCGAACCTTATCTTACAATGCTCAGGGGGAGAGGCCCC